TACTTTGCCAAAATTAACTTTCTTAATGGGTGAATCTCACACTTCCTCCAAATTCTTATAGTGCCTATCATAACAATCTTTATATCCTATATAATAAAAGGGTAATATGCAAATTGACCCTAACAGTGGAATGACCGGTTGCTATGACACGCACTGACCACCAGGGGGCAGATGCTCAACGCAGGAGCTTCCCCCTGGTGTTCAGTGTGCTTCCACAGGGGGAGCACTGCTCAGCCGGAAGCTGGCTCATGGCTGGCCAGCATAGTGGCAATGGCGGGAGCCTTTCCCGCCTCTGCAGCAGCACTAAGGATGTCCAACTAACGGCTTGGGAGCGGGCCTAAGCTGTTAGTCAGACATCCCTCAAGGGCTCCCAGGCTGCCAGAGGGATGTCTGACTTCCAGCTTAGGCCCGCTCCCTGGGGGTAGCGAGCCTAAGCCATCAGTCGGACATCCCCTGAGGGGTCCCAGATTGCGAGAGGGCACAGGTTGGGCTGAGGGACCTGTATCCCCCGAGTGCACGAATTTTCGTTCACTGGGCCTCTAGTTTTAACATAAGGAAAGAGGAGAAAAGTAATATGTAGTGGATGTCATGCACTAAATATTTTATATAATCTACTTACTCCTTATATCCATTGTTAAAAGATAGACATTGTTACCACCATATTTTGGACAAGAAAACTTGAGACTTAGTAAGGTTAGGCAACCCTATTTCGGTCACATAGCTATTACATTGTGGAACTGGGATTTCAATGCACATCATTTTGACCTCAAAGATTTTAAATTCAAACTCATGCAAGAGATTTAGAGTTCGGAGATCCCTGGCATTCAAGATGTTGATTTATTTAAGGTATGCACAGACTCCTTTAAAGCATCTAAAGTCATTTAGTAATGTCTTGCTAAACCTGACTTGGTTTATTCTCCTTATAAAGAAACTAGTTATTCACAAACACAAACTAAAAGGCTTCAATCAATTTATGTCAAATTAATCCCATTATAAGAATATCTGAAGGTCTTTTAGATTCAGTACAGTGATACCTATTCTATGGTTAGTGTTCCAGCAACTTGAAACAATCCATTTATTTCCTGGAGATAAGCAATCAACTCTCCAATCACTAGTAGAAAAAAATGTTTAATTGTAATATTTTTACACATGAGTTATCTCACACTAGACCAAGAATCTAGAGCTCTGAGTTCAAATCCTAGTAGACTATATAACCCTGACAATTACATGAACTTTTCTGAGCTTATTTTCTTACCATGGATGAAATAAAGATGTTATATAGACGACCATAAGGGCCCTTCAAGTTCTAATGCTAGATGATTTTTAGAATCTCTTCAAGCCCTAGAAGCAGAGGTAACTTTGGATAGAACCTTTAAGACAATTAAGTGACAATGCCCAGACCAGGATCACTCTTTTCGGACAATTAGATAGTCTTTCTTCAGTATCAAAGTGATAGCAGTGAAGATAGTGGTGATAGAAATAACAGTAGTGTCACTAAGATTTATTGAGCACTTGCTATGTGCCAAGCACCAAACTAAGAATTTTACCTGTATTGTGTTATATCTAACTCAACATAACAGTATATGAGGTAGATACTATTATTTCTCCAATTTTAAAAATGAACTAACAAAGGAACAGAAAGGTTAGGTAACTTGACTAAGTCTATAATAATAATAAATGGTGAGGCCAATACAATCTTTGTTGATATACCCTTGTCTTCTACTAGCCTGTATGCTCTCTGAAGGCAGGCACTTTGCTTTATTTCTTTATTTATTTCCTGATTTATTTTTATTGATGAGAGAGAGAGAGAGAGAGAGGAAGAGAGAGAGGAAGACATCGATTTGTTGTTCCACATATTTATGCATTTTTTATGTTCCCTGACTTTGGATCAAACCTGCAACCTTGGCGTATCGGGACAATGCTCTAACCAACTGAGCTACCCGGCTAAGGCCAGCAAGGACTTTGTTTTATTGTTAGCCTAGCACTGTCAGGCAAATGGTAGGGGTCCATTTACTATGTGGAATAAAAGGAATGAAGGAAATGAGGAGGGGAGAAGGAGGGAAGGGAAGAATGAAAGAAATTATATCTAGACATGCTATGTTCTAAATAAATGTTGATTTTCTTACTTTATTTCTTTAACCCTGAAATCACAGAAAATTCTTCAATTGTGCCCAGGAATCCTGGGGCTTGGTGATTTATCCCTCCTTGGTATTCCATACTAATTCCGGAACAAGTCACTAAAGAAGCTGCTGTTACTGGTTTAATATTCTAGTTAATACATGTTTTTGTCTTGTCTCTTAGTTTCTAATGTTGAGATCAACAGAGGAATATAGTTTAATCCACCACACTAACGTTCTAATACTAACAATAATAATAATAATAATAATGTCCTTGATATTGGTCTTTCACCCATTGGTGTCAACTAAGGAAAAAGAAAAACTCGTCCCAGTGGAAAGGTCCTTCCAAGCCTAGCAGCACCCATGAATATCATATACCAGTGGTACCAAAATTTGAGAAGCCTAAACAAGATGGTTTGATACAATAGATACTGACTCATTATGCAACTTCTGCCATTCTTATGTGACTAACTCATGCCACACAAAATGGAACTTTAGAGTAGCCTATCAAAAGCAGGTTTTAATTATCTACTCTTGACTTTATCTATTTACAGTTAAAATTTAGTAAATAATAGAAACCATAATTATAAACATGTATACAGTAAACACAGGGCTCATTACTTCTGTTTACCAAAACAGTCACATATCTTTAATATGACCTGATCTCACCTGAGCCAAAGAAAGTCAACATACATTTTTCTGTGTGTTTCAGGAAGGTACAGATGGGGGTAGGAGTGGGGGAGAAAGAAGAAGGACGGGTAGAGGGAGAGAGAGAGAGAGGTCAAAGAGAATAAGCGATTGCTCAGAAACCTATAGCATTAATTATATAACACAGGAGATTAGTTTATTCCTATGCTGCAACATATTTCCACAGTGACAAGTTCCATTTAACTTAGTCATATTAAATATCTCAGCACTGTGTATAGAATAAGGATAATATAAAGAATTTTCTCATAGTCAACAAAAATGAATATAAAGTATATTATGAATAGTGTGATGTCAATTCTTAGTGATAATGAGGATCAATTCTTACATATTCATTTCTCATTTTAAGGAAAGAATTTATCAGTAGTCTCATCTCTGTCTAATCAGCATTATGAGAACTAAAGGAACGCCATAAAGACCCATCCAAAATATTTAATGAGGAACAAGTTTCTAGCACTCTCTAGCCCTCTATTTTTAATATAATTCAGACATGTTTTATTCATGTATACATTCATTTAAAATTTATTGACTGCCTACTATGTACAAGGCATTGCATTAAGGGGCTGTGGGCAATCTCTACTTATCTCAGCACCTATGTTTCCTACTTCCAAAGATGTTAAATTTATATTATGGTGATTTATTTTTAAAAACAGATTTAAATAGGTCAAGAAATGAAAAAGATACACCAGCTCTAAGACTTTGTTACTAAATACTGATAGAAACTCCTCAGCATTTTAATATGTTAATGAGATTAATGCCAGTCATTTGAATAAATTTTCAATATGGGGAATTTAGAATTACTAAATAAATTATTTAACTATATTTTTTATATTGAGTTGCAGCTTTTTATAGTGCATTTATAAAACTTAACTAATATAAGATACAGTCTATAATAGCTTGTTTATATTAAAATATAGATATTTATCAGAAAATATACAGAGCTATCAACTAAAGGAAACATCACTGACAGCACTTAGGAAAATACCAAGTGCCTAGAATTTGATGAAAGTAAAGAATAATGTTCCAGCCTTGAAAACTATATCTGAGCTGTATCCCCTTTTCTAAGAGTGCTATTTAATTTTCACTTTTTCTTCTTTCTCACTTACACCCAACGGCAAAAGAGACACATGCCCAAATCCAGAATTCATCTTACAATATACCCTTAAATTTTCTGAATACGCCCCATGTGTCCACTAATAGCCAAATGCTTTCAAATCTGTTCAGTTAAATGGATCAATAACTACATCCAGCCTCACATAGTGGGGTTGCCAACATGGTGAAATGGAGCCAAACACAAAATGTGTCTATCAGGACAAAAATTATTAGCAACCCACTTATCTGGAGAGATCTCCTTTCCACAGGTATCCTTTAAAGAAGTTAACATACATATAATCTAGGACAGTTAACTAAAAAAATATTTGAGACTCAGAATGACAGATTTGGGAGAAAATATTTGGGAGCTAAAATCAGTGAGTTTTACAAGTAATCAATATAATAGTTCAAGGTCTACATCAAGTAAGAATCTTTCGAACTCAGAGTATACAAAATACGTAACAGCACAAACAAACTGCTGACATGCTTCTCTGTGCGCTCACTCATGAGACACAGCTGCAATCCACAACTGAGCAGGTGCAACCTAGCTTCTGAAAATTCCTGCCTGTTGCCCGGGAACCACAACACCGTACAGCTGAGATTTTAAACAGGTGCAAACATCTTTTTCCATTTCCCTTCTGCTTGAGACAGTGCAGCAGACAGTACATCTGCAGCCATTCCTTACCTACAGCAATGACCACAGAATATAAACTCTAAAGCAGAAAAAAGTTTGAAAATAAAGCAATAACGTCAAAAACGGTGGTTCTGCAATAATTTGACCCCATAATTTGGCTTTAATAGTACAGTTCCATAAAACATTCTCCAATGCTTCACCAGCTGAATGTTTTGTAATTAAAATTATTCTGCCTCATCAAATCTTAGAAATGTTTCTTTGCTTCTTACAATAGAGTGAAGTGCAAGGTGTATATAAAGTGTACTATCCTTTGAAGCTGTCAATATTTACAAGGACTCAAAAATTAACATTTTCACATTATGAAATCTGTAAACAATTTTAATACACAAAAATATAATAACATGTCAGTTAACACATAGATTTATGTAACTATAGGTAATTCATATACATACCTGTGCAGCTATGGGACACAGACAGATGAGATTTATCAGGTACCTGAAATGCAAAACAGATATATAAGTAAAAATTCATTTTCTAAATAGAATCAGTTTTATGCTGAGACAATTTCTGCAGAGAAGTAGGAAATACTGCAGCGTTTAAAGAGGTGAGTTATTTTATACCTATATCTTCCCTAGAGGATATTTCAAATCAGCTTAAATTCATGTGTGTGAATATATACACTCATAGAGTCCCTCACAGTGTTATCAAGACAAGCACCAGCAAGGGACTAAGACTCACCATGGCCTCTGAAACGAAAATGCTTTCACTAGAGAACGAGGCAAACACTTTAAAATGATTTTTTTTTTTTTTGGTATTCTTCCAAGACTATTGCCTTCCTAATACACATATGACTACTAATCTCTAAAATGAAACCACTCAGATTCATCTGTACTCAGTTTAGTATATTGGTGAGGAAGAAAGTTGCTTTTGTAGAGCAGTCCACAAAAAAATGCATAAATAAATAAAGTAAATTTGGAATGTTCATTAACTTCAGTTACAACAGCAAATAGATACGACATTGCTTGTTATGAGAGGGAATGTTAAAACCACACCAAACACTTTTGGAAAACTGACAATGAAGTGAGTGTCAATACAGAAAACGTAAGTCCAGCTTAGGCAAAAATACGCAGAATTTACAATTAGACCTGAAACACATCTGCATGTACTTGGAAACTGTAATGTAACATGCAGCCTCCACACTACTATGACCCTTAAAAATATTTCATAATTCTTTCTGAAAGCAAACTGAAGTGTTTAATTTATATACTTTTTTTCAGCATAGTGAATGACAGTAATATTAAAATCAGTAGGTCTAATACTTGCTTAAGAGTATATAAAGGTAATAATCGATGTTGATGATGGTTCAATAGAACACCCTTTTTATACACTTCTGATGAGTGTGTGAATTGCCAAAATGTTTCCGGAAAACTACTGGGTAGTATGTGTCAAGAACTTAAAGTTCAAAATCTGTAGTCATTAATTAGCTCTAGAAATCTATCTTACATAACTGAAAACAAAAAGATTTATGTTAAAATGGTAATTTTTATGATAGAGAAAAACTAAAAGCAACCTAAATGTCCAATAGTAGAAAAATAACATAAGAAAACATGACATATCAATGTAAAGAAATATTTTGTAATAATCCACAGGGTAACTGGTGGTACTATAATGTTATATAAACATATAGAGTAGCATTTGCATGGACATGATGAAATGGCTTAGAAGATGAAAAATAGAGCACACAAAAATGTTGAGTAATTATATCTGGATAATAGGGTGATGACTGATTTTAATGTTTCTATTTATTTTTATATATAGGTAATGTGTACAAAAACATCCTATATAATAAAACCCTAATATGCAAATCGACCAAACGGCGGAATGACTGGCAGAACGACTGGTTGCTATGACGCGCACTAACCACCAGGGGCAGACGCTCAATGCAGGAACTGCCCCCAGCCTGCAGGCCCTGACCAGCCGCTGGGGGCGGGGCTGGCAGGCAGGCAGCGCCAGGTCCCCACCAGCCAAGGTGGGTGCCAACAGGGGGCCCCCAATCACTCTGCCAGTCACCCCACAGAGGAAGGTGAACGGTGGCGGCGATGAGGGTCAGGGCTGGCAAGCGGGCAATGCTAGGCCACCAGCCAAGGTGAGTGCCAGCAGGGGCCCCCTGATTGCCGCGCAGGTTGCCCACAGAGAGATGCAACTGGTGGTGGCGGTGGGGAATGGGGCCGGTGAGTGGGTGGCACCAAGCCAACCAAGGCAGCTGCAAGCAGGGGCCCTGATCACCCCGCTGGTCGCCCCACAGATCAGCCCTGATTGCCGGCCAGGCTTAGGGACCCTACCCATGCACCAGGCCGCTAGTCTATATATATAAAAGCCTAAGTGACCGAACGCCGGAATGACCAAAACAACTGGAATGACTGGAACAACTGGTAGCTTGCATGCACTGACCACCAGGAGGCAGATGGTCAATGCAGGAGCTGCCCTCTGTTAGTCAGTGCGCTCCCACAGCCAACCTCCTGTGACCAGCCAACCTCCCTTGGTCCCTCCCCCTGTCTGGCAGGCCCTGGCCAGCAGTCGGCAGCCAGCAGGAAGGAAGGCCCCGGCCAGCAACTGGAAGGCCCTGATCAGCCCTGATCGCCAGCCAGACCTAGGGACCCCACCCGTGCACGAACTTCGTGCACTGGGCCTCTAGCCCTATATAATAAAAGCCTAATATGCCAAGTGTCCAGTCGTCCGGTTGTCCATTCAACCAATCAAAGCGTAATATGCTAATGATATGCTAAGGCTGCTCAACCACTCGCTATGAAGTGCACTAACCACCAAGGGGCAGACAGTGAACTGGCTGACCAGTCGCTATGATGTGCACTGACCACCAGAGGGCAGATGCTCCGACCAATAGGTTAGCTTGCTGCTGGGGTCCAGCTGATTGGGACTGAGCGAATCAGGCTGGACATCCTCTGGAGCCCTCCTGTGGTCCCTCCCCAGCTGGCCAACCTCCCGCATCCCTCCCTGGCCCTGATAGCGCACCGGTGGGGTCCCTTGGCCTGGCCTGCGCCCTCTCACAATCTGGGATCCCTCAGGGGATGTCAAAGAGCCAGTATCGGCCTGATCCTGCAGGCCAGGCCAAGGGACCCCACTGGTGCAGGAATTCGGGCACCGGGCCTCTAGTTATTTTATAATAGGGAAAATTTTTAGTTGGCAGATAGCAGTAAAAGAAAAGTTATAAAGTGCCATATGGAAATCATAAATCTAACCTTCCTAAGGGAAGTCAATTACTTGAGTTATACATAAAATCCACCAAGTATACCCCACAGTGAGAAACTCATCCTCCTGTTTCCACACAGGGGTGCAGCCACAGTCTCTTTCATCCCACTGCTTTAGAACCTATTCCAGTAATTCAATAGCACATTTTAATCATTTTAGTAAAGCATCTTTAATTATGCAGAGTGAAATGATGACAAGAACAATTTAGGATTGCAAATCTGTTCAACCTAGTACACACTAATTTATTCACTAAGTAAATGATATGTAATGAGTGTCTATTACATGCAAAGTGCTGTGCTTGGCGCTATGATATGCTAAAAGATAAACTGGAATACATCTTACTTTCATAGAGCTAACAATTTAAAAGTGCTAAAAATGTTAATATACTTTCCTATTATTTTTACTGTAAACCCAAATTGCTCTAAAAATAGCCAAAAAAAAAAACACAAAGAAAAAAACCCAACAACCTGGAAAAACAAAACAAAAAAATTTACATACAGCTTACATAAAGATGTAAACATGCTACAGTTTAAGGCATTTGTGATAGATCTGGTATACTTTAAAGCAAGAAAACTATCAGATTTATTATTTTATATTATTAAGCAAAAACTGATATTTAAGTAATTAAAAAGTTATCCTAGACAGTTTGGTTCAATGGATAGAGCAATGACCCACGAACTGAAGAGTCCTGGGTTTCATTTGGGTCAAAGGCACATACCTTGATTGCAGGCATGATCCTTGGCCCTGGTTGGGGCACATGCAGGAGGCAACCAATCGATATGTCTCTGTCACATCAATGTTTCTCTCTGTCTCTCCCCCTCCCTTTCACTCTCTCTAAAAATGAGTGGAAAAATATCCTTGCATGAGGGTTAAAAAAAAAAGTTATGAGTACATGAGTGTGTATCACTTATAAAATGCCGCTAGTAAATTACTTTAAATTGTAATTTTTTCCTTATATAACCTACTTTTTGTTAATAGAGAATTATGTAATAGGAGACCAGGTATGAAGGGATATTGATCCAATCTCTAATGCCAGATTTGTAAAATTATCTAAGATTATCTAAGGCCACATAAAACATATGCACAATTATTAACAAGCTAGTTATTTATTGGCAACCAAAGTAAATAAGTAAGTTTCTTGCTAACCTTGCCAAAGACACTATTATAACCCCACCACCAGGGAAAGAAAAGGAGGATAAGAATGTAGACAAGTGCTGAGAGAATCACTAACAACTAAAGGTAGGTAATGGTGGTGGTAAGGGTACCATTTCAGTTGTGCAGATAAAGTGATGCAGCATAGAGTTTCTCTCAACAGCTCAGTTTCCTTGTGGCCTGGAACCATAATTGTTATTTGCCCCTTCTGATGCTAGTGCCACATGATGGTTCTGAGGTTCAGCCAGTGGGTCAGCCTGTGTGGAGTAGAACCAAGCACTGAGAGAGGCTGTTCATGGGATCAATGGTCCGCAGATCTGGGTCTCACAGAGTTCTGGACAGCAACAGTTCTGTGAGGCAGGGTGGTGGTTACGTGATTAGCTTTTGCTGTCAGACAAACCTAGGATCAAATTCCAGCCCCCCATCCCCCCCCACCCCTGTCTCTTCAATTGTGTGATCTTGAACAAGTTACATTTTCTCTGTCTGTAAAATGATAATCATGTTATCTACCCTATAGGATTGTTTGTGTGTATTATGTTACAGTCATTTAAAAGATCTAGCGCAGTGCCTGCTCGAAAGCAAGCATTGCTAAATGGAAGCTACTAGTACTGTCCTAGTTGTATGAGAAAAAGAGGGAATGTCTGTCCCTTTAAGGCAGTGGTTCTCAACCTTCTGGCCCTTTAAATACAGTTCCTCATGTTGTGACCCAACCATAAGATTATTTTCATTGCTACTTCATAACTGTAATGTTGCTACTGTTATGAATCGTAATGTAAATATCTGATATGCAGGATGGTCTTAGGCGACCCCTGTGAAAGGGTCGTTCAACCACCAAAGGGGTCGCGACCCACAGGTTGAGAACCACTGCTTTAAGGTAAGGGGCTAAGCTAAGCAGGCAGTAGGGAGATAGAAAAAAATGGCTTTCTTGAGATATCACTCTGTATTCCACAACTCATTCACAAGCCAATCATGTGCTGGATGTTCACCGAACATTTCTGAATCAGGAAACTATAACAATATTGATAGCCACAATAAGCAATTCTAAACAGTCTTTTTAAACACCATCCCTTTTAGTG